GAACTTGACCTACACCTATGGATGCAGTAGCTCAAAAGAGGGAACAAATCTTTACAGCAAGAATCATTTCCACCCCTCAATACACAGAGTAGACAGGGATGGGCAACTTGGACACTGGCTACCCTAAATGGGGTGGGGGAGGCCTACAAAGGGAAGAAGTGACTGGCTTACAAGCTTTCAAGAGGGAGCACAGAGGAAGGTAGAATCTCCACTGAGTAGTATTCAATCTGTCTGGGCAGGTCTGATGAAAGGAGTTGGGGATAGCACTCATGTGGCACAATAGTGAATAATTGCTATCAGGGCTGACTGAGGGTTTTAAATGTAAAGGTAGATGTTTTGTAGCAAAAGGAGGGGAGTGGTTGACTTTGCAGTACATGGGCGGATGTCCCTAGGACCATAAAGGGAGAAAAGTGGCATGCAGGACCCTACCCAGAGAAATAGGGATGCCAGAGATGGAGGCAGAGACGATGATGTGGAAAGATGGAGCTGGTGAGGACTCTAGACCCAGAGAGGGAGAGGGGCTGTGTGTTGACGACCAGGCATGGAGGTGATTGTTAACTATGGCAATGAAACGATATATGATAGGATGAATGTAAAGCAAATGTTCTCCCATATAAACTATCACATAATTCACAATAAAACACTTAAAAAGGAAAAAAAGTAGATGCAAAAGGTAATACGCAAATAAATAGTTTAAAGATTCTGGTTCCAGTCACCAGGGAAGGCACAGAGAGAAGTTCTGAAAAAGGAAAGATCTAAGATATACAGGCTGCTCTGGGTATAGTACCAAAGTAGGGAGCTCTTAGGGAGCAAAAAAAAAAAAAAGTGATGATTGCAAGACAGAATTATTTTTGCTACGGTTGGCAATGCTCCTCCTTCTGCAGAGTTGTAATTAAGGCAAAGTGCAAAGGCAAAATACATAACTTTCAGATTTATTGAGTTACTAAAAATCCAATTAATATAAGGCAAAAAAAAAAAAAAAGTGGGAGAACCTTACCTCTGCCATCAAGCTTCCCAAGATGTATAGAGATTGACCCCACAAGTGTGGCAACTTGCCCATGGGGACTCGATCTACACTGTGAGGATTCTGATATTCTTCATCAACCTAACAGAAAAGATGAATAGGCCACCTGAGGTTGATACAAAGTGTAAAATACTACACAATAAAAAAGCTGAGTCTGGATTTTTATTCCTACCCTATAGAACAGGATCTCTGGTAGCGCAGTGGTTATGAATCGGGCTATGAACCTTAAGGTCTGCAGTTTGAAACTACCAGCTGTTCCATGGGAGAAACATGAGGCTTTCTGCTCCCGTAAAGATTTACAGCCTCAGAAACCCTGTACAGGGTCACTGTGAGTCGGAACCGACTCCACGGTACATAACCACCACCAACCACCACCCTATAAAACAGTCACATATATAATACAATGAAAAGTTAAGCATTATAATCTAGGGCAGTGATTCTCAAACTGTATTGTGCATATTAATCTTGGAATATCTAGTTAAATGGAGTTTTGGTGTGGCATTGTGAGTTAATGTGCTGGACTGCAAAGTCAGTTTGAACAGCAAGGTAGGCAGTTTAAGCTCACAAGCTGCTCATCTTAGCAACAACAACAACAACATCTAGTTAAAATGTGGATTCAGATTCATTAGGCCGAGGGTGGGGTCTGCAATCTGCATTTTAGCAAGTTCTCAGGTGATGCTGCTGATGCTACTAGGAGAGTATTCCATCCATTTCCTTCAGCATGGAAGACTGCATTTCGCCAGTGTTTACAATGTTCTTTCCCAATGGTCAAGAGGAATAGTGGTACTCTTGACTGGCACTTATGGAAAATGAAGACAGTACAAATTTCGTTTTCCAAGCCTTATCTAATCTAACAATCCCAGATACTAGCAGAAATCCCGAATCCTGAATACTTGTACTGAATACCATACATGTTGTTTCCACTGATATTTATATCATTTGTAACCTCAAGATTTGGTCTTGCCCTTGTCAGACTTTGCTATAGTGTCATAATTGAGACTGTCTAAAAATGTATTTAAATGAATAAAATCAAATTTCTGTTGTACTATAACTAAAGATCAACCTTTAAAACTTTATTAGACATTAAAAACTATTTGATTCAAATGAGGCAATCTATGTGACAGCACTGCCCAATTCACCTTGTCAGGAGGAACACTGTACAGTTCTGGCAGAAGTGGGACTCCATTTTTGCCTTTGATAAGGACTGCTTCAAGAGCCTCTCTATATTCTTGAACCTGAAGGTAAAAAAGAGCAGAAAAAAAACGTATAAAGCATTCATTCCCTTTGGGATTTAAGAAAGAGTTGCAGTCAAAGAAAGGAACTTATTAAATTAGTGAAAGGGAGAGGAAAGGGAAATAGCATTTAGTAAATGCTTGCTACAGACCAAATACTATGCTAAGAGATTTGCATACTTCACTGCATTTAATTTTAATAACCATACTAGGTTATATGTATCTTGATTATATCAGGATTGTATCAAGATTGACATCGAAATTTAAAGAGACAGTATAGACATAAAACCAAACGGCCACCACTCGTCTGTCTGTCGTGCTGTGGTGGTCTGAGTTGCTGTGATTCTGAGGGCTATGCCACAGGTGTTTTAAATAACCAGCAGGGTCACCCATGGTGGAAAGGTTTCAGATGAGCTACAAAACAAAGACAGACTAGGAAGAAAGAGTGACAAACTACTTCCGAATCGCTAGTCACTGAAAACTCTATGCATAGCAGAGAAACCATACTAGGAGGAGGGTGTAATTATCACTTTTTTTTACAGTGAAATTGAGCTCAAAAGGGTTATAAACTTGCAGAAGATCATATAGCAAATGGTTTAGTTCAGATTTTAGCCCAGATCAACCTTTGTCCAAAAGTCTATTTGAATTCACTATGTATTACCTTACGGATAGCATTTGGCTTTAGATTGTATTGACATTTTTTTTTTGAGGGGGGGAAGGTTTTTCTTTTTTTAAGTTTTTATTGTGAATTAAGTGATAGTTCAATCAAGAACATCAGTTTTACACTCATTGTTTCATTGCAATGATTACAATCTCCTCTGTGCATCATCATTCAACAGTATTTGCTTCTATTCCCTTGGGGTTTTTTTTTGGGGGGGTGGTATACACAAAAACACTCAGGAATATATAACCATCTAAACAAACAAAGGGCATATTCTTTTTCCATGAGTCTAGAGTCTTTAGCTGCTCTATATCTCCATGTCCTCATCTCTGTTTCCAACCCTAGTGTTGCTGCTTCTCTGGATAGGGTACCACATTCCACTCATGTTCTTCTCCCTTGATGGTCCTAGGGTCCTCTGTTCCTGGACTGTGAGATAAACTACTTCCCACTTTTTGTTACAAAACCTTTACAGTTGTGACAGTTGCAATTAGTCATGGTAACAATTACTCACTATTGAATCATAAGAATCTTTTCCCCATCTCCTTTCACCAGACATGTCTATACAAGATGAAAACTATTCAGTGGGGACTCGACCTTCTCCTGCACATTCTTAAACTAAACTTCCTCTTAAAAACCTGTAAGTCAGTCACTTCATGCCTTTATCGCCCTGTCATTTTAGGTAGCCAATGTCCCAGTTTGGGCATTCTTGTGCATCTCCCCTCACTTCATATCAGCTGGATGCTTCACTCTCTGCTCTAGCCCTTCGTGGCTATGTTCTATTCATGGGCTCAGGGATTCTCAGGTCTAACCAGCCTTTCATCTTCTCTCTCAAGATGTATTGACTCTTTTTTTTTTTAATTTTTATCGTGAACTGTAGTTCACATAGGAGAATACTGGCTTTACACCATCGTTTCATTGCAATGATTACAATCATTCAACAGCATTTGTTTCCATTCCCTGTTTTGTATTTTTTGGGGGCGGTGAGGGATGTACACAGAAACACTCAGGAATATATAATAACTTAAACAATCAAAGGGCACATTCTGCAAGTCTGCCTCCTGGCTGCCAGCACCCAGTCCCTCTGTTTCCATGAGTCCAGAGTCCTCAGCTGGTCCTTCTCTTCATGTTCTCATCTCTGCCTTCATCTCTGGTGTCGCTGCTTCTCTGGATAGGGTCCCACACTCTGCTTGTGCTCTTCTCTCTTGATGGTCCTAGGGTCCTCTGTTTCTGTACTGCGAGAGTAGCAACTCCCCCATTTTTGTTACAAAACTTCTACCTTTACAGATGTGACAGTCGCAACTAGTAATGAAAAGACTTTCTCACTATTGAATCATAAGAATCTTATCCCCATCTATTTTCATCAGATCCATCTAGACAAGATGAAAACTATTCATTGGGGACTCTACTTCCCCAGCACACTCTTAAATTAAACTCCCTCTTGAAACCATGTAAGCCAGTCACTTTGTGTCTTTTATCCTCCCCTCATTTTAGGTAGTCAATGTCTAAGTTGCCTGTCCCTATATACCCTGTATACAGAGGGGATAGGATTGATACTTGATGTGAAGACTCCTTCCCTCTCAGTTGGTATTTTGAGCTACTACATCCATAAGTATAGGTCAAGTTCATCAAATTGTATCAATTTACACTCATTTCCTTTATCAATTTTTTGTTTATATTCCCCTAGTCAAGTTCTGATTATCAAGCCATTGAGACTAGGTCAAATGGGTACTGTCTGCAAGTTTGTGCATTCTTGTGCATCTCCCCTCACTTCATACTAGCTGGATGCTTCATTTTCAGCTTGAGCCCTCCGTGGCTATGTCTTTGTCCATGGGCTCAGGTGTTCCTAGGTCTCACCACACTTTGGACCAACCAGCCCTTCTGCTTCTCTTTCTCATCTCCAGGTCAACGGGGGCCTATGGAATGTGGTTGAACTCAGCTCATTCCTTCATTGCTGCCTTTCCCCCTCTTCCACTCACCAGTAGGCCCAATATGGTCACCAGCAAGCTTACATGACTACTCATGTGTTCCCTTTGAGTTTCAGTCTTGGAGGGGGGTTTGTCCTGAAGGAAATTGATTGCTTGCCTTGATGGCTTCCCGGCGAACAACTTGCTTGTTCTTGTAGTAGCCAATCATATTGCCATTTTTGTCTTGTTTTTTCCTGCTGATCTTTCTTTGAAGATGCATGCTGTATTGCTCTAGCTGTTTCAGGCTGGTCTGGTTGTCCTTTCTATTGGGAATGTTCTACCTTAGAAGGTTCTGGATACGGCTTGGAATTCCACCTAAGGTCCTATACACAGCAAAGGGTCTGCAACAAGCCTATTTTACTTAGGAAGTTCTAGAACTCCATTTAGGTATTGCAATCAGTTATAGGCTGAAGACAGGCTTACAAGCTTTCTGTAATCATGTCTCCCAACATACCTTTCTATCTCACTCAAGTGAAACCAATATTCATAAGTCAGTCAAGCATCTTAACATTATTTCCCTTCTTCACACTATGCCTCGATCCCTGTGTCACAGAGCCCTGTTTTTCCAAGGTTGAACATACATCACTATTTACCTCTTTGTATTGCATTGTATTGGCTTTTATAAGCTATTTTTACCTGCCGATTAAGTTTCAATTAAAGTCAAGCTTATATTCTTTGCTTAGTAATTTGCTTCAGATTGGCATACTTAAAAAAAAAAAAAAACTCTGTAATTTATGGTAGAAAGAATATACTCAGTTCTGCTATAGCACTTGTTTTGTTGCAAAACATTTGATGTTATTAGATAACAATTTGACCATAACATGAATTTCACATTTTCTCATACACAATTTCATTCTGAGACAGCACTCAGTTAAATTGAGTTATATAAGAATACACTAAAATACACACATGCACACACCTCACAAGGACAGTGAGCCATCCCCATCATATCTACTGTTAACAACTGTCTGTATGATTTCAGATAACCCATAATTCACAAGCTGCAACCTTTTGATAGCAACTTTAGCTGCATAGCTACATGTTCTCCCCGGTCTTTAATCTTCCCCTTTCCTCTCAGAATGTTTTTTTTAAATATTCCCTCTCTGTTCTCTGTTCTTTTACTCTTTTCCCTCATGATTTTTCTCCTTTTCTTTTGTTCTTTTCCTTTCACATACAGGGTAGTAGCCATGGACACACATTTACTTAGCAACCTTCAGGACTTTTTCAAGGTAAAAATGTCATATGTTGTGTTAAGTGTTTTCGACTCATAAGGACCCTGCATATATTTACTGAGGAGAAGCTGGTGGGTTTGAATCATCAACCTTGCAGATAGCAGTCCAGAGCTTATCCTGTATTTATGTATTTCTTAACCATTTAGCATGTATAATGCTATGGTACTGCTCTTACTAGGTTTTTATCATTTTTATGTGCTATTAAAGTGTTGTGTCCCTAACCCTATCTTTTTCCCATTGTTGCTGTTGTTGCTAAGTGCCATCAAGTTGATTCCGACTCATAGTAACGCTGTATAGGATTTCCGAGGTGCGGTTGTTCAGTTTGAGCGACTGACCTTGCTGTTCAAACTGACCTTGAGGTTGAAAAATTATCCTACAGGGCCATACCAGTACTCATTTTCTTCCCATTAGTCCTGCAGTTTAATTCCTTGATTATGCATACTCTGGTAATTTTAAAGAAATATTTTTATATATGTTACACTACAGCAGAACTGAATGCACCTTGCACTTAAAATAAGACAGTGAAATTCAAAGTACTTTTGGAATTTCTTCATCATCACTGAGGAGAAAAAAAAATATTTTATTAACAGAGAAATGGAAGTAGTCAATGATAATATTTGGACCACTTAATGATTAGTAGTGAAGCCAAGAGATTGAAAAAGAAAGAAAAAGAAATGTATATATCAAAGTTCTAACTCTTAACACAGTGCCCTCCTAACTCTTAACACAACTTACTATAATGCAATTTTGTCTCTTCCTTATTAGGAAAATCTTTCATTAGTTCATTACCTGTTCTGCATTGCCACCGAAAACCCCATCAAGGATAAAATATGTCCAGAACAATGGCCATTCACACTCAATGTTTTCAAATAACTTCAGCTCAGCTGGCTCATAGTAGAGACGATTCGGATCCTGAAAAAAAAAACAAAAACAAAAAGTCTGTCTAATTTTTCTTTAATTCAGAGGTGTTGCAGCCTTAACTACTGATAGTTTATTTTGGAAAACCTGGTCAGGGAAGGCATAGCATGTGCATATTCCCTATCTTTAACATGGTCTCTCTGATGTGACTTCTTACTAAGGGAACAGGGAAAATAATGGCATCACAGATGGGTATATGAAGAAGTGAGATTGTTATGTAAAAAAGTTGAATTTGGTTTTATACATGTTAAGTCTGAGATAGTCAGAGGACATAAACAAAAATGTCTACATGGGCAACTAGAGGTGAAAGTGTGAGAATTATCCTCATAGAACTGACACATTTTAGAGATAAACTTTTTGAAGGAGTACCGATATACAAGATGAACAAAAAGTTCAAGAAAAGAATGTTGCTAAATAAACCCTCAGAGTTGAATGAATGAAGAATAAAGGAAAGAAGAAGTAACAGGATGGTGTAGTGTTGTGGAATTGCAATGGGTAAATAGTGAAACAGTAGAGAAATCAAGGACAATAAGGATTTAAGAAAAGGCTATTGGATTGGTCATTTAGGAGATTATGATTATCTTTCAGAGCATAATTTTAGTATACTGTTGGGGCAAAAGTCAAATCCAGAGCTAAAGAATAAAGCGGAAGTAAGGTAGTAGTCCGATATCTGACAATGTTTCTCTGCTATGCATAGAGTTTTCAGTGACTAGCGATTCGGAAGTAGTTTGTCACTCTTTCTTCCTAGTCTGTC